TTCATCACAAATTTCATCAGAGCTTGTGGTAACACGGGTTAAAATTTACAACCGTACCGCACATTTCTTTCCAAAAAATTCCACGTATTGGCACTAGTAGTTTGACGTTATTTATTTCATACAACGTATGCAGGTTTAATATAAATTTAAAATTTTAACATATTGAATGGTGTTGTCAGAATACAATTTCTAACTTCATTCCGGCTTTGCACATACCGTTAATTTAAAACCAGCCAAAAATGCATATAGGAAAAGGGGTTTTGTAAAGTACAGACTCGTTCAAAAGTACAGATATATTTTTTAAAAAAGCTTTTAAGTAGGCCTACATTTTTCCGTCGTGAACAGGTTGAAGAAGTGTTAAATACCCCGGAACCTAACGAACAGACACACATACAGGAAGCTGAAGCTGATTTAGAAATTAAAACAGGGGTACCATCTAAAGCTGAAATAATCAAAGTAATAAAAGCACCTGGAAATGACCAACTGCCAGCAGAGTTAATTAAATGCTGATTTAAATGCAGAGGAAAATGTATATGTTATGTTTTTTATCTCTAGACAAGAAATCCAGCCCGGCCACCACGTCGGTCTCAAGTCCTAACACCCCAGTTCTGCTACTATGTCTGTATTCAGAATAATTTGTGATTCATGCTTATTTGTATATTTATGTATACGAGGGTTGTCCCAAAAAGTCGTAGACAATGTTAATAATTTTTTAAACATGCAACCATGACTGACCAAATTTTCAGGAACAGAAAAATATTTTCAAAGAAATAATGCATTTTCACTATATAATCAATAGAGCCCCTCCCTAACTCCAGAACCCCTGACCCTGGGGCCATAAAATTCACAAATTTGGTAGAGCCACTCTTGTTCATCATAACAATGAACTTAATTTGTTTATTTAATACCCAGGGGCAGAGAAGAAGATTTTTAAAGACTTACTGCATTTTCACTATATAATCAATAGAGCCCCTCCCTAACACCAGAACCCCTGACCCTGGGGCCATGAATTTCACAATTTTTGTAGAGGACTCAATGCTGATTACAATCATACCAACAGTTTGACTGCTTGATGTCCGGGAGTAAAGAAGAAGATTTTTAAAGATTGCACTATTTTTAGTGGTTTTTGCCCCACCCCCAGGCCCCAGGGGGGCGGGGACCACGAAATTCACAATTTTTGTTCCCCTTCACCCATAGATGCTCTATGCCAAATTTGTTGAAATTGGTTCAGTGGTTTCAGAGAAGAAGCTAAAAATGTTTAAATGTTAACGCACAACGGACGACAGACGACGGACAAAAACAGATAGCAATAGCTCACCTGAGTTTACTCAGGTGTCCGAATAAGGGTTGTTAGGTCAGGAATTCTTTTTTTTCTTCTTTTTTTTGCTTATGTATGACCAAACATCCCTGGACTGAATACCAGGTGTCATATTTCCTGTGGACACCAAACATGGCATCCAAAATGGCTACCCAGCGGCAGAAAAAAACAAACTTTCACAAAGTTGTAGGGGGAAATTGTTGTTACAATAATGATTACTCTTTATATTTAAGGTAATTTGTAAACTAGATTGACATATTTTATGTCTCAAGTTAGAAACAAGTTACAAATTATTTTTTTTTATCTAAATAAATGGAATTGGTTTATTGATTGTCAGAAAAAAATGCACTCAGGGATAATTTGAATGGGTAACAAACATTATTTTTTTAGTAGGTTTTAAAACAATCAAATAATATAGTAGGTTTTTAGAATTTGGCTAAACATATGACACAGTGAATAACATGTACATGTGTTAATCAAATATACATGTTTGTTTATATTCTTTCAGATCCTAATTTAATGTCTGAGACTTTAGTCCTAACACAAACCTGCAATCATCTTCAATCTCCACTAAATTCTTCACGAATCTTCAACTCTAACTTCAGCTTCTCTCGCCTCTCTTTTATTAATATGGACGCATGCATTCGAAAGCCGGAATATTCCGGGTTCAGCATTACCAGGGTTAACTGGTGATTCAGATATCCAGATGCTTCACATATCCGGACAAATTGACTGGGAACCAAAGTTTTTCAATGCTTACTTTATTTATGCATGTGTTTAATTAGGTATTACAGAAGTACAATGCTATGTTTGACCAGGACATCAAAAGCCTGAAACCTCTGCAACAAAAGTCGCTGGACAGTATAATGCACTGTGATACTTTATCTATCCTTCCGACAGGATATGGAAAGAGTCTAATTTATGAACTTTTACCCCTGTATCATTTCGAACTGAATAAAAAGTCCGCAGCTGTCCTTATACTTGAACCCTTAAATGTGATTATCGAACAGCAAATAAATAAACTTAAAGATGTGTCATTCTCTATAAAAAACACAACGACCTCTGATTGTTTGAAAGCTGTTGATACTGATAGAATTATGTTCATTTTTGCACATCCAGAGGCTGTGATTGGAAAGGCGGATACATATAAGTTTTTACAACATCTTTCTGAACGTAATCAAATGTACATTGTCGTGGATGAAGCCCACTGTGTATTAGATTGGGGGCAAGACTTTCGCCCTGTGTTTCGGGACATAAGGCAATTACGAGCTGTTCTCCCTTCTGCCAAAATTTTAGCTTTATCTGCAACAGTGTCAGTTAAAGGTGTAGACAGTATTGTAAAGTTTTTGGGAATGGTTGATTCTGAAATCATCAGAACGTCACCAATAAGAGACAACATATCTCTAATTGTTCTTCCCAGGCTAATTCTTCATAGTTGTGATGACTTTTCCGCTTTAAAGCAAGCTCTCTTAACATAGCTGTGGTTTTATCCTCATTAATCCTAATGTTTTCATCTTCCAAGGGACTTGGCTCACTGTAAATTTGATACCGTTAATCATGATATTAAGTAGTTAATACTTATTATACTACAAGTGTCTTTATATGTCCTTGGTACCAAAACATATGTACATTGTATGCAACTTTAAAAAAATCAGATTCTGAAAGTTTCATTTAAAATTGGATTTGAAAAAAAATAATATTTATAAGCTCTGTAAAAAGCACAATGAGCATGATGAGATGGGCTGGGAGACTAAACACTCATTAGACAAAATATACAAACCATAAATGTGTTCATAAAAAGTACAGTCGAACCTGTATTAAGCAGTCACCTACAGGATCTCTCAAAAGTGACATTTATAGAGAGGTGACCTTTGGATAGAGGTTCATCTTTTTTAAAGGAATTTATATGTCAGTTTTGTGTATATATATAATATATTTCACTACAAAATATACAAGAAAGATAGGTATTGGACATTAGTAATCTCACTTGAATTGTTACTTTTTATTTAGTAGATGCATTTCTTTTAATGATGAATTCAAACTAAATTAAAGTGATCCACCCAAAAAAAAAAAGAAAAAAATAATAATAAAATACCTGTATATTGAATCTTACACTTACACAATGTGTAGATAAACCGTAATTATGGCTTCAACAAATGATACAAGTTTCCTAGGTGTGAAAATTAAAATTCCTATTAAGCGTACATAATACATTTACATCTCTCAGAGCATGCAGAGTTGGGCACGATATTGACAGTGCGTAAATGGTAAACAAAATTATATTCATTAAAGCAATATGAGCTGTATCTTCGAAAATTTTATTTTGCTGGTAAAATATGCTATTATGATTAATTTGTATGTAATTTAAACCCTAATGACCAATAAGCCCAAAATAAAGTTCAAAAAATGTTTCAGATGAAATATTTCTGTACAACCAAACATACAGTGTTATATAAGAAATAATTATTGTACAGGACGACAATAATTCAATTTTGCTTCAATCAAAGCTAATGAAAATTTTTCCATCGCAAATATGAACAACTGAAGTTTATAAATGATTTATTTTTCTATCATTAAATTAGTTAATCACAAATTTGCAATAAAATTTTCCGATGTCAAAATTGCAGCTCATATTGCTTTAAGGAAATTCCACCCTCACAATTCTATAGGTTCAAAGTACAAAAACTGCATATATTTTCATTCAATATACATTAAAGCAATAGCTGCTATAACTGACGGTACAATTTGAATGGGAATTTCAGCATTATTTTACATGTACCGATACAACTAAGATAATAACGAAGTTTGGGTAAGAAATTTCTCACAATAAACAAAGTATAGGATGTTTAATATTGCACGCATGCTGTGCGCTGTCTTTCAAACGGTCATTGCCTAATTATCTCTCGGGACACTGTAACGATGATTACCGAACCCGAACGGGATGCTGATAACGAAGTTGTACGAAGATGGAGTCAGACGTGAGTTTCTGTATTTTTCATTTATTTGAAACAGTTATACCATGTCATGAATGAATAAAACTTTGAAAAAGTTTAATAGGCGAATATCAACTTAAATATACGCTCACAATGAAATATGGAGCCCATAATTTTTCAAAAATTGGCTGAAAAACGTATTTAACAACTTGAGGCCCCATAGGGGGTTTTTTGTTTCACAGTAAAAACGACTAAGAAACTTCAAATAAAAGTCAAATTAACCTTCGGAGGTAAAATCTAGCAAATAAATTATGAATTTTATTATTAAAATTACCTTTGTGCTGTTTTTGCAGAGTGCAGATAGATCTAGAAGTGATAATTCACCTGGTAGTCGGTCTGATATCAGTGATGATGAGTATGTAACAAACTACAGAAGAGGGAGAGGTCGAGAGAGAGACCGTGTGCGTGGAAGAGTTAGACGGGTTTTGAATGTAATTATGAAGCCTAATTATTATTTTATTAGAACATTTTTGAGAACATATTATTTATTTCCAAATTTTGCTAGACACCCCCCCCCCCCCCCGAATATTACATGTACCGGTAGTTGTTGCCTTGTACAAGTCAAATGCTTATAATGTGGGATTTCATAAACTGTAGACCCCTGCAGCTGGAGGTAGAGGTCGCGGTGGTTCCAGGAGAGGAAGAAGAAGAGGGGGAAGAGGCGGCCAAGGACCAAATCGGCTGGAAAGACGAGCTCATGTGGAGGTAGAAAGCTAATGTGCAATACCAATCTAATGATCTGTATGTATTAATTAGTGGCATATTTTTTATATAATATTTTTTTAATAATATTTCATACGTGCATTGCATCATTAGACACTGACAGCCTCAGAGCTATGCTTAGATTGGTTTGCTCGAAGCAACCTTCTTTCATCTTGGACATCCTTCACACAGTTCAAGGTGAAAGTCCAGAGCATCGACCACCAACAAGCAGTACAGTCCCAAGCTGGTGCATTTGCACCTATTGTAGGGAAATGCCCTTAGAGAAAGAAAACGTTTGCTGCAATAAATCCAGTCAGAGCTGTCACTCTAGATTACCTGTAAGTATCATTTCTTCCAGCATAAATTGCATTATTTTCTTACTATATTTGTAAAACCCTGAAGAATATAAGGCCAACAATTAAAAATTGTTTTTTTTTATGTACTCCGACAGACAGTGACACATCAAAGTCGCCCTTGCACAATTTCTCAGCCCTCTTAGTTTGTCATATTTTTTTTTAGTTTTCACGGTACTTATAATTTCTCTAGGATGCTTTTCAATTTGAAAATTATTAGCAATAAATTATACCCAGTAAATCAATATTAGCTATCCAGTGTGTACATTAATAAATTTTTGAGTTTGATTTATATGACCGGTATCATTTTGCCCAATTCTGTAAAGCAACAAAAAAAAACTTTATAACCTAACTTGCCTTGGAAAAAAGTGGGTTCGGAGTACTTCAAACAAAAATATTTTTAATGATGGCCTAAAATTTTGCCTTATATTTATCTCATTTTCGTTTTAGGATTTTCAAACGATTGTTCTGGATGAGCTCGTGTTGAGGTACCACAATGATGTCCTGGCCGAGCCTAGGGATGAGAACTTTAATAGATCTCGCAGACACACAGCCTATCGGCAATATATAATGTGGATACATGGGAGACTCGGAGCAGGAAATCGTAAAGTAATACCAAGTTGTTGCGTGTGGAAAATTCGGGATAAATATCCCGAGCCATCAGGACAGTATGTTGGTTTCGTAGAAGGGGTGCTTTGATACTAATCATGTCAAATTAAATCAAAACACATTAATTCAGTAACAACACATCTTTTACTTTTCATTTCATGAAATCTGAATTTGAGGATCAGAAAATCTTGACTTTTTTCCAGCAACTAGTTCAGCTGTAGGTGGAGGGGGGACTGGTGCTAGAACAGAGGATATTCTTCTTGGATCCTCAGCACTGAGAACCACTGGCTGGTTCATTCCTACTCCATCCAGTATTCTGTTCTCCAAACAGGCTCTCATCAAGGTTTCAGAGTAGGGGTACACTTTCTCTGACTTAACTCCATAGACAGACCATATCCCACTCTTCTTGCTGTAATAGCGTTGGTGTCTGAAAAAAGGAATAAAATATTGCATAAAGAAATATATTTATATTGAAAATAAAATGTGGAAACTTAATGGATAGAAAAATTAGAAGCCATGTACTTGAATTTCATTAATAGTTGAATACTGATACCTTTGTGAGCCATCCTTCTTTCTTAAAATTTCTCGACCACAATTGGTCTAATGCTGCAATTAAGTTTCTCGCCTTGTATACTGGTGGGGAATATGAATATTGTTTTGATGAGTTTTTTAAAATCAAGTTTTGAAAATTTTCCAGTACAGCTGTACTTCTACAAAAGAGAGAAGTTTGCAGTGATAATTATGTCCGAAAAAATTTTTTATTTGACTTGAATCTTTTATTCACAGGATGGTATAAAAATAGATAAACATGCACCTGCAATTCAAGTAATAGGGAATTTTCTTTTGCAGTCTCTTGTCTCGAATATTATCCCTCAGAGCAACATGAGCTAATGACCCTGCCTGTAACCAACCTCCCTCGCGCTCCTCTGTCAGAGGTCTATGCAGACATGAATTCTGTGCACCTACATGCCCTTTAAAAATTTAAAGCATAACAGAACGGCTTTAACACCCTTCCCCCGTTTCAACTGATAAAATATCTATGTGGTTTTTGGAGCCCAGGTATTCCAACAATCTATTGGAATTCCCATGGGTACAAATTGCCCCCCGTTATTAGCAGACTTATTTTTATATTCATATGAAGCAGAATTTATACAAAATCTTTTACGTGAAAAGAAGAAAACACTTGCTGTGGCCTTCAACTCGACATTTAGATATATCGACGACGTCGCAAGTGAGTTAAGGCTAAGTATGGGTTTTTCTATGCAAATGAGCTAATAAAAATGCATAAATTGTATATTTTATATACAGAGAAAGTTCAAATTGATTTTCTTACACATACTTAGTACACACAGTATATTATTGCAAATGCACATTATGACGTCATATTATGACGTCAGAGTTCTTCCCCATTGAAGATAATAAAACACATCAACAAAACAACGTCGGCGCAAGGGCATACTCTATTTAATTGAAAAGAAAAAAAAGCATAAAATTATGGAGAATATTATTAAAATTGATAAAATTGCTGCACAAATCCTATCCTCCTCTTCAATCGATAAAAAATTTACTAAACTTACACTGGACTGTTCATTTTTACCCTGTTTAAACTTAGAACTGTACGAATAGTATCTAAACAATTGCAGTGTCGAGATTTGTGCAGCAATATCTTTAATCTTTGGAATACTTTGCTTTTCTTTATACCTTGTTTCTGTAAAACAAAGTAAGGTATGCCCTTGCGCCGAAGCGATTTCGTTGATATTTCTCATAAACGTGTGTAGTAAAGGTTGATGACGTCATAATATGACGTCATAATGTATACTGGTAATCGCATATCGTGGGTACCAAGAATGTATTAGAAAACAAGTCTTAACAACTTCTTTGCGGTATGTAAGGCAATTATCTGTCTTAATTAATTATTTCGCATAGAAACCTCCATATGTAGCCTTAACTCACCCGCGTATTGTCTATTAATAATGATAATTTCCATTCCTACGTCGACACGATATATCCTGGTGAGCTTGAAATAAAAGATACCACAGAGTCCGACACTTCTGCTTCATACTTGGATATTTTACTTGAAAAAGACACTAATGGTAATCTAACAACCAAGCTATATGATAAACTTGATGACTTTAACTTTTCTATCGTCAACTTCCCTTACTTATGCAGCAATATACCTTCATCACCTGCATACGGAGTATTTATATCTCAGTTGATTCGATATGCAAGAGCATGCTCTACGTACGAACAATTTCTTAAACGAGGTAAATTATTGACAAGCAAGTTGATGAAACAAGAATATCAGCGGTCTCGTTTGAAGTCATCATTTCATAAATTCTATGGTCGATACAATGACCTTGTCAGCAAATACAATTTATCATTGAATGAAATGCTGACTGACGTTTTTCATACCAATTGTTAGTCCATTATTTATACACTGAATTGACCACGGATTTTTTTCCGTTTTATCCTGATTATGACAACGAGCACACGGCGGGTGTGACCGGTCAGCAGGGGATGCTCACTCCTTCATGGCACCTGATCCCACCTCTGATGTTTCGGGGGACCGTGTTTGCTCTGCTCTTATTTTGTATATTTACCTACTTAGGTATTTAAACCGGTAGTAGCTTTATTTCCCTACCTGATATGTTTTTAATAAAATAAAAATGAAATTAAAATAGTCCCATGAAAAAACTGTGGGTCACGGGGGCTGGAAAGTGAATGAATCTCACATATGAAAAACATGATATAAAAGTGCTGCGATAACCTGTTATCGTCAGTATTAATGAAGGATTTCGTGCAATGAAGTCGACAACAATATGTTTCTGAGTGTCTTCTGAGATAAAAGTGATAAATCAAGCCACCAAATTTGCCCGACTTCCACCTCTTGTATGAAAGATGCCTGCATTGCAACCCGGAAATTGAATATGGTAAGGAAATGATGATGCGAAACGGTTAAAAGTGATGAGATCCAAAAATGATGTTATTTGTATGGAGCGCAGTTGGCGTAATAATTTAAATACAAATTATCGCTTATACTATCTAAATACAATCCTCTAGATAGTTTGACATATAAACTCGTAGTAAAATTAAATAATTTTATTGTAGAAAAAATGCCACCAAAATACATATGCAGCTGCAAATTACATGATAAAATGTCAGAGAAACCAGGTACAGTTGTTTACAACATATCAACGAAAAAATTTAAGAAATGTATTGTTGAGGCTCTTTGTAGTGCAGGTTATCTTCCATCAAGAGCATTATATCTCTGCACTGCTTGTGCAGATTATGCTGAAAATGAATGAGGATGTTGAGAGAGATACAGAGGAAAAAGTGAACGAAGTTATCGATTAACAATAAAATTTTAAAAGGGAACTTGGAAAAATTAACAAAATGTATAATTCAAAGTCAAATCCAGGAGATGCACAAAGACTGTATTGTTGTTCAAAAACAGTACAAAGACTTCAATTTTTTAAAAACAGATGTTGTGCAGTAGGTGAAGAACAGGAATTATATATTATTGACAATACTTTCCACACTTTTAGGTTGCGAAATACATAACCTGTCTGCGAGTTATTTTATATTTTTGGCTTTTGCCATTGAACATATGAACAGTCTATTAAAGAGGAACATTGTTTTGCCGTTTTCTTTTGGTAAAAATTTGTGTCATATCATTTCTCTACAAACAAAAAATATCTGTGCGTTGAATTCAGCATGTGGCCCTACTGGTTCTTACGGTACAATTGTCAATTGGATCATTGATAATTCCAAAGAGTGTGTTCAAGTCCCTGACAAAAATGATGTGTTAACTTTTTTTGATAACAATCAAGTGTTAGCTAGAAACTGGAGGGTATATTATTACGCCGAGGCAGTTGTCCACATATTTATTATTATAATGTATAATGAATACATGTAAGAGGACAAAAATATAAAACTTATTTTATTTATGAAAAAAAATATATTGTATTTTATATTTAATAATTTTTTCTTTTACTTCGTGTTTACATTTATGTGATAATATACAGGTGTCAATAATATTCCTCATCGTGTGTATGTAAAATGTTGGACTACACTTTGTATCAATATTATTGTAGTCCTGTTTAATATGGAGCGAAATGCTCTAGAGGCGAACCGAATAGGTTTTGATCTTCACATCGCAGTAAATGAAATGTGCAATGCAGACAGCAAACGATTAAAAGTAGACAACAATAAACAGGTACACATGTATTTAACGATGCTTGCGATGGTAATCATGGGTTTACATGTTTGTTTTAATGAATTCAGCTTATGTCATCGGAATTGTAAATTTGCAATCAAAGAAAAAGATGCCGATAAATCTGAATGATTCGAGTAAACAAGGTAAACAAATGTTGAATGCTTTCGAATTTTCTTGCGTAAGACGAGTAACAACAGAAAAAATACTTAGTTTCTTTCCTTTAATTGCGAGACCCCCGACTTCCAACCCTCCTTCGATACCGACGAAATTTGGGGAGTCGCCATGTATTTCGAGTATATCATTTGTGAGACAGCATCAATACTAAGGCCAGGCGGGCCTCCTCCTGTCTTGGCTCTATATGTTTTCTGGGATATTATATCACTTTAGCCTTGGAACAAACCTTCCTGTATTTTTCCATGACTTGGTCCACCGACCTACACACCCCTCCTCTAGAATTTACAGGATAAGTGATTTTTTTCCATACTTCAGGTTTTTTGGCATTCGTTATTTGATTAATTTGATTTGATAACATTGATGTTTTTTTTCCACTTCATCAATTAAAAATAAAACGTCATCGACCGAAAAATTCTCAGACAGATACTAAAATATTACCATAAAATGTTGAAACCAGGTCATCGTGATCTATATTTTGGTTGAAATTTTTTAAAGTCACAAGATGAATCTGCTGACCAAGTTTGATGATCCTACATCTAAAGCTAATCAAAAGAAGCCTTTTAAACAATTCAAAAACAAATGCCTACAAAATTCAAAAAGTAGGTCACAGTGACCTACTTTTTCATAAAAATGTTTTAAGGTCTCAAGATGCATCAATTTACAAGATTTGATGATTCTAAACCTCTCAGTGTCTGAAATA